CTTTATAAATTCATTTGTTTATTTTCTAATGCTTTATTGTTTTGCATTTTTCCTTACTAGGAAGGGTAAATATTATCAAGAGATGAAAAAAAAACCGCTACATTTATCTGTAAAAACTTTTTTTTTTCTCTCTTCCAAAAATTATATCGTACGATGAAAGTAGTGCTCGAAAAAATAAAAATGCAAACCTTTCTGGTCACGTGATTCCAGCACTGAAGAGTGATCCAACAAACCATTGTTGCAGGATTATAAGAAAAGCGTCTTATTAGGTTTGCAATACGTGCAAGAGCTGTGATTGTTGTGCCGCATGCGATTCTCAACGTTTAAAACCAAACCCCGTGAACTCGCTCCTTCCACGGGGTGAATGTCAAGTTCGCTGGGCAATCAGCTGCAGGGACATGTAATGAGAAATCTCTAAGCGAGTCTATATGGACATAAAATCGCTTCCGATTTGGACGATATTTTTAAATTTGTGACGGTAAATCTTACAACGCTAGTGACTATTCACTACCAGACCTAATCCCTGCTTTTGTCCCATATAGTGGTTTGGAATTTTTTTCCCTCGGCTCCGGTTTCCTGATAGCCAATTATAGTTACACTAGAAACTCGACATAGCCTTTTTTTTCCACGGAAACCAAGGTATTGATGATTTTGCGAGTTTTGAAATGATATTTCCGCGTTAATTTTTCAAATAACTTTATTTTTAAATGTTATTTTCTTTTAAAACTGGAAGTTATTTTCTAATCATTCATAACAAAAAATTAGAACTTTTGAGTCTCATTTATTCAATGCATTCCTAATTTGTCTCGCCTTGTTATATGGAACAAAATCTAAGACTATTTTTCAAAACAGTCTTAAGAACACTTAAGCTTAGTTAGAAAATCAGTAACCACCTCTAATTATGACGTAATTACCCAGTCGATGCCCATTTTTAAAAACAGTTGTCACCTTCCTTGTTGATTATTTATACATGTGAAATTATGCAATCATAAATTGTTCTTAAATTAAATTTTAATCAAAAATATATTTTCTTAGATTGAAAAACCCGGACTTTATCTATCCTGTCCAATAAATGATTGCAAAAAGCAGCACATGGTCTTAACGTTTTCCAGCTATATATTCTCAGTCTGTGAAAAAAGTCAAACTTGTTAAATGTTTCTATACAGCAGGTAGTTTTTCTGTTATATTAGCAATTTTTTTAAGGACTCGCCGTTAAATTTCTTGGTCTAGATTATTATTCAAATCACTACCGACGATGCGCAAAAATACCTTGAACTTAAAGAAAAAACAAAAACAAAGCCTTCAGATCGGAGAAAAAACAATTAAAGAGGATATTAATAAACCGAGAAGAAACATGGATGGCCAAGTGGTGAGGGATGGAGAAGATTAAAACGGCTTGAAACTGACGAACTTGAAAGACCTGGGCTAATTACTTCAAGTCAAAAGGTTTTTGTCTCCAAGTGTAATTGTAAGTCTTGATATTATTGCTGAGAGTTCTTCCAGACAAGTGATAAAACAGTACTAAAAATAAAAAAAAGACACAAGTAAGGAGCGGCTCAAGAAGCAAAATTCACTTTTGAATAAGTCTATTTCAAAGTGTACAATTTTTTCTCATCATAGCTAGTAACAAGAATACGCCCGTCTGGTGCTTTTGTTATCGCCATAGGCTGAGATAAACGGGTGATACTTTTGCCGGTGAAGCGACCGTCTAAAGAAAACTGCTGAACTCGGTTATTGCCAAAGTCACATACTAAAAGATTATCGGAGCTGTCTACAAGCAAACCACGCGGCCGGTTAAATTGTCCATCTTGATTCCCTTGTTTGCCGAACTTGTATAAGAATGTTCCTAACTGATCAAAAGCTTTTATGCAGTGGTTGCTTGTATCAGATACGAGAAACACGTTTTTATAAAGAGTGCAGCAGGTTGGACCAAGCAGTTTCTCTGAGCCTTTGTCTCCAAATGTGAAAATAGACTCTCCTTCCTCTGACATCACCTGTATCCTACCATTCCTATGCTCGGTTACAACAATGCGTTCTTCATCATTCACAGTAACGTCTATTGGCCTGCCAAACTCTCCTTTTTCTCTGCCTTTTTTCCCAAAACTTTTAACAACAGTTCCTGTGTTAATATCAAGTCGCTGTATTCTATCATTGATATTATCTGCAATTAGGACTTCGTTGTCATTTAAAAACAAAATGCCATCAGGGAACTGAAATTGTCCTGTACTGCTACCTCGGCCTCCAATTTTCTTCAAACAGTTACCATCTTTATCAAACACATAAACACAGTGGCCATTGTTATCTGTCACAACTATCTGGCCTTCTGTATTCACAGAAATTCCATACAACCCTTTAAGCGTGTCGCCTGAAAAGAGCTTTAACTTCAACTCCCTGACCACAACAAGTTCACGTTCTTTTACTTGCATAGTCATGGGACAGGTCGGTAGTTTATCGCCGTTAATCTTCACCTCAAAACTATAGGCGCCAGGTACTTTGGGAGTAAACTTCAGTCTAAGATTGCCGTCTTCTTTCTCTTCAACATTCACGTCTGTAACATCTTTGACGGGTTTAATCAGCAGTTCAACTCGACCCTTGAGATCCGCCTGGTTACTTATCTCTTCTCCAGGTGTCTTTGGACATAACGTAAACTGTGCTTCTACACCAGCCTGGAAAGTTTGATCCAGTCCTTCTAAAGTTGATTTAGC